TCTGCCAGGCCTGTTCATTGTCCTTGCCTTAGAGTCAGCTGATTATGAACTGAAATCTTTACGAACTGTAAGCCAAGTAAACCCCTTCCCCTTTAACTTTGGGTGTCTGGTATTTTGTCTCAGCAATGAGAGAAAAGTTACTAACACAGATTCCAAGTTTGGGCAATTTAGTGATTTAATGAGACCTTTTCTCAGAAATAAAAGGAAGATCTTGGGATGTAGCTTAGTGCTAAGGCCCTGGATACAATTCCCCATTTCTGGGGAAAGAAGTAGAATTCTTATATCAACACTTACTAACACTTACCAACATCTCTGTGAGATGCATATGCTCTTTCTAAAACAATGTTTTTCTAAAAAAAATGTTCTTCCTGTCCACTGAATTGATTTTGTTATCCATGAGAGGGCCACAGCGTAGTCCTGGGAAACATTGGTTTGTAGGCTCCTGGATTCAGCTCCAGGCCTACAGCATCACACCGCGGCTCCACTCCCCTGCATGTCCTCTCTGGAACAGCCCCACACCCCCTTTGTGCTGTAGAAAGTGAGACAGTGCTTCGAGGAGGTAGGTGGAGGTTTGAAGAAAAGTGAAGGGATCACAAATTGATTTAGGAGGGAAATGAGAATTGACCCAGTGAGTACAAAAAGGCTTCCCAGGTGGAAGCAAGGGCTGCCTTCCTGGGTGTTCAGAGTAAGGATGAGGAGCTGCACATCAGGAGAAATGGAATTCGCAGCTGGAACTGGAACTCCTACCTTTAGCTTTTGGAGGAAAGAGCTTCCTTAAACCAAACCTGGTGACTCCAGTAACTACTTCCTACTTCCTAAGGTGTTTTTTTTGTTTGTTTGTTTTTTACCTTTTCCTCCATCTTTGAGAAGTGTCCCACCTCCCCTCTTTGCTACTTTTGTTTTTATAGATAAGAGAACATTTTATCACTAGAATAATTGGGGATTTCACAAATAAATACTTAGGGATCATCAGAAGTCTTAACATAGAAATCTCCTTTACTGGGTTTCTTGGGAACTGCAATGGAGTTCTTACTAGCCTCATGTGGCCACTTAAAATGTAAACTAATCAGTGTTTTGAATAAAGGGGAAAATCCAGTTCCTTAATCATATTAACTACATTTCAGTAGTCACACAGGGCCAGTAGCCATCCTATAGAAGAGTGGAGATCAGACATCATCACAGAGGCTCGTCAGTGTACAGAATGTGGATCTAGGCAAAACAAATGGATAGTTAGCTCAGCTAGTTTGCTACTGATTGTGATAATTTGCTGGTTGATTTAGCTGTTTTCCTGGACACACACACACACACACACATTTTTAAGCACACATTGAAATTGTGCTGTCTTCTGGCATTCCCAATCATTCACAAAATGGAGTGGAAAAACCAGCCTTCCTGGGCCCACATTTCTTGTTTCTTATAACTACATCATAGTCAAGTGGCTTAGCTGAGTTGATGACCAAGTGAATACCCTGGCTGAAGACTAGGTGTTGGTTTAAAACCCTATGGGTTTTGCTTATTTTCCACAGATACATCTTGTAAATGCAGAGCCAGTATATTCCTAGCATTTCAGGCAAGAGTGAAGTGAGATTCTGCTCCTAAATCAGACATAGCACTTTTTTCTTTTTCTTTTCTTTTCTTTCTTTTTTTTTTTTTTTTGGTGCCGGGGATTGAACTCGGGTCCTTGCACTTTCAAGGCAGGCCACCGAACCGCTGAGCTAAATCCCCAAGCCGTAGACATAGCACTTTTGAAATGGTGCAAGGATAGGGGAAGAAGGGAAGTCCTGTTACATACTTGAGGCTGAAAACCAAGGTCACTGCCTCCTTCCTCCAACTTAGATTTCTCTCCATCAGCCACCCTTGTTGCACTTGCCAGCCATTCTTCCTGCTCTCAACAAAGCCAATCATTCTAGGACCCCTCTGTGAAGACATCTCATGTGGTCGTTATTCTAGGTCCTTCTTGTCTACAGGGATTCTTTGTTCATATCTCTCTCTACCCATCAAGTCTGCAAATTAAGCAGTTTTTGTGAACGTGAGGAAGGTTAAGGGGAGAAAGAATTAGAGTCTTTTCTCCCTGGCTTTTCTTTCTTGCGGAGGAGGGAGAACGTTTTGGGAGCTAGGAAGGAATTATTTCCAGAGCTGTGAGAGGCCCTCCATTTCTCTGCACCTTGGGAAGGGACCTGCTGTAAGCAGGGCAGTGAAGACTCCGATAGCCAGAGTGGGTATATACAGATGAACCTTATATGGCCTGGTCAGAAATAGCACCGTAGTCTCTCACAGAGATGTTTCTAACAGAATATTGCTGACTAAAATTTGATAACTGCGGTAGATATGAATGAGGCAAGTCCGTTTTGATTGGCTTGCTTGGCAGAAATTTGGAGATGCTAATCCTATCAAGCTCCCAGATATCATTTATGCAGCCTCCATAATTTGCAAAATATGTTCTCAAGCATCATTTTATTTGATACTTATGAGAAACCAGTGGGCTGGGACAAGACATTTGCAAGAGGAAACACAGGCACAGGGAGGCAAATGACTTGCCCAAGGTCACACAGTTTTGTAGGTGGTGGAGCTAAGGGCTAAATTTTGAATCTCAGTCTAGTGGATGCTCTTCTGAGCATGGCACTTTACTTCTCACATTTTGCCCTTGCACTAAAAGCGTTTGCACTAGATAATTGATGATATAGTAGTTAATTCAATAGATATGTCTGTTGAGTGCCTATAATGCAGGAGGTTAAAGAGGGAGGTTCTGTAGTTGGGTGGCATGGGTCCTGCCCTCAGGGGGCATTATTTAGAACCATATATTTTCAAGCAGTAAATGTACATTATTCTAGAACAAACTGGGTGTGTTAAAGCTTGTGGGTATTGAATAAATTACTGAGTCCTTTAGAGATGTCTTCCTGAAAGCAGGCAGTTTTGAATCAGATTCGGAAAGTTGTGCACAGACTAAGGTAAGGGCATGATGGTAGGAAAAGAGAGTTATAGACATCCAACCTCTGTTTGTGGAATATTAAGAAAACAGAAAAGAACATCTGTTTATTATTATTTGAAAATGTACCGTGCATGACATTATATAGAGCTGGGTCTACAATGGCAGGCAAAATAGACTTGGTTCCTACTTTCAGATTGCTTAGTCTTTGTGGGTAGGAACTATTGATTGTTGACAATACAGTAATTATACACATATTTCAGATTGTGATGGTTATCACAAAGGAAAAGGCAGAATTCTTTAAGAGTATACAGAACAGTGACATAAATTAGATTGACATTTGAGCTGCTGTGTGAAGCTATGGGAGTTACTAGGTAAATAGTTTTGATGTAGGGAGCAGGGAAAGGAATGCATATATGTGGGGCATGTACAATGGCCTTAGGGGTACAGAGGAACTGAAAAACGCCTCTGTGCTGGCATCATGAAAGTGGAGGTTGGGCGGCGTGAGATAAGGCTGAGAGGGGACACAAGCGTGACCAGATTTTGGTCTCTATTCTAAGAGCTGCAGGCAAGCTTAGAAGCATTTTATGCAGCAATTACATGGTCAGATTCTCTTTCGAAAAAGATTACATTGGCTGCAACATGCAGAGTGTTTGGAGGGGGAATAACAGAGGGTTTGTAGCAACCCTGTAAAAGGCTACTGCATGGTCCAGGTTAGGATGACGTAGCTAGGTGGGAGGTGGTGACAGTAGGGATGGAGGGGAGTGGCAGGTTTCCACAGAGATTTAGGAGGTCAAATCTACAGAAAGTAGTCATGTTGGGTAATGGAAAAGCAGATGGCAGGGATAGTCCTTGAGCCCTGGAAGCTTCAACAGGATGGATGGGGAACTGGCCTTTGAAATAGGGAACCTTGGCAAGGGACCCAGTTTGGGGAAGAAGATAAAAATCAACTTTGCACACCAGGGAGACACTTGGATCTGTGGGTCAGGAGCTCAAGTTGAGAACTGAGTGGGAATTATAATGTGTAGGTCACTGGTGTTTAGCTGACAAGGAGAACTCTGGATGTGCATGAATTTTCCCAGAAAGAAAAGAGCATTAAATAAGGAAAGGAGAATTAAACATTGAGGATGCGCAATTACCATTTACAAGAGAACAAGCCAGCCCAGGAGCGACGAGAGAGGTGGGAGGAAACCTGAAATGTGCGTGAGTGTTATGTCATTGAGGTAGAGTAAAAATTTTTAAAAGGGTGATGGTGATATCTTTCAGTTTGTTTCTAGACTAATTTCCTCATCACACCCTAAAATCTCTTATGCAGTGGCCATGCATCTCTAGATCCAAGGCACCTGTGCAGTGCACTGTTGCAGAGTCCAGGTGGCTATCCTGTCTCTGAGTCTTGCATCCTCAGGTTCTGCATCTGTGGATTCAGCCATCCTAGGATGGAAAATGCAGTATTTGGGGCGGGAGGGGTGGAAGTGCATCAGTACTGAACATGTACAAATTTTTTTCTTGCCATTATTCCCTAAACTGTACAGCACACAAATGAATTTACATAACCTTTATAATGTATTATGTGTTATAAATAATTTAGAGATGATTTAGTGTACAAGAAGATGTGTGAAGGTTATATGCAAATACTATGCTTTTTATATAAGGGACTTGAGCATTCTGTGAGGGGTGCTGGAGCTGATCCCTGCAAATGCCAAAGGATGATGGACTATTTATTTATTCATTTATTCATGTGACAGATTGGGTGTGAGTGTGTGTGTCTTCTGCCTGGAACAATAATCTCCTTTCCTTTCTACTACCTCACTGTACTTTTGGCTGCCACTGACTGGGGTTTGTTGCAAATCTGAGCTCATTTAATCCCACAGAGTACCAAACAGTATCTGGTCTCTCTGCTCTGCAATTCGACTCCTGGCGCCCCAGCTTCCTGTGCCAGCTGGGATCCTTTAATGAGCTCATGTGCACAGCTCACTAGAAGTCTCTGAGCTGGTGAAATACACTTGAAGCTGTTGCTTTTGGCCTGCTCTGTGTCAGGCCTCTTCCCACTCTCTCATTGCCTTTTTTATTTTAGGATGGCAGTGGCTCCTCCAAGTTACTGTTTTGTGGCCTTCCCGCCACGTGCAAAGGATGGTTTCGTGGTGTTTGGGAAAAATTCAGCCCGGCCCAGGGATGAAGTTCAAGAGGTTGTATATTTCTCCGCTGTGGATCATGAACCTGAGAGTAAAGTTGAGGTAAGTTATGCATTGCAGTCTCTCCATCTATCTGTGTATGTTCTCTTTCTTTGGCTATGTCTCCAGCCCCCTGTCTCTCTTCTTGGAAGCCTGCTCACTTTTCAGATTGTCATATTCTTTCTGCTGATTCCTGTTTCCCTTCAGATTTGCTCATAGCCTTCAGAACAAGGCTCATGGGGAATTCTGGGTTTGTTATGGTTCTCTTTTTATAATTTTACTAAAATGTTTACCTGCTTCCAAAGTCAAATCTATAAAATAAGATGTAGTTTAAAAAGTCTAACTCCCAACCTTGACTCCTTTACTCCTTTTTTTTTTTCCTCTATAGGTACACTTTTTTTTTTTGTGGTACCAGGGATCGAACTCAGAACCTTATACTTACTTGCCAGGCATGTGCTGTGCCACTGAGTTACATCCCAGTTGGAACTCTTTAAATGTATCTTTCCACTTTAAATTTTACATATTGGGCCAGGGATTTAGCTCAGTGGTTCTGCTGCCTGACTCGGAAGTGCGATGGGCCTAGTTTGATCCCCGGTACCAAACCAAACCAACCCAACCAAAACATTTACACATATATGTAATATATTACATATACATATACATATACGTATACATATGCTTTCCTCTTTGCTTAGATTAACAATAGCACGTAACGTATACTTTTCTCCATTTCGCCTTTTTCAATGAAAAATTTTCCTTGGTGATCAGGGCATGTAGTACATCCGGGTGTCTTCATTCCTCATTCAGAGCTGCACAGTGTCCTGTTCTGTGGATGTGCCGTAATGCTGCTGGACGTGTGGGTTATTTTCCAGTCTTTTGCTTTTATAAATAGTGCTGAAGTGAATAATAGCCTTGAGCATCTATCATAGTGTCTACTATTGTTTTTATGTATTTTTATCATGTTAAAATTATCCATCAATTCTTATTTTGAGTGGTGTTAAAATTTTTGTCAGTATTTCTTGGGGGATAGATGCCTAGAAATGAGGTTGCCGGGATACAAGGTAAATAAATATGTGAATTTGTTAAATATTGTTAAGTTTCCTCCCGCACTGGGGTTTTTCAACAGCAATGAATAGAAAGCCTATTTCTCCGTACTCCTAGTGTGTGCTTTCCAACTTCCGTGATGGTTATCATAGGTTAGTTTTATATTCTGCTGTTTTACTAAATTCTTTTATTGGCTGTGTCAGCTTTTATCATAAACTATGGTATAATAAGCCTCTTGGGCACCAAGTAAAAGTAATATAAAGTTTAGCTGAAATCCATTGTTTTCCTGGAACAGTATTCTAATATTGCTTCAACATTTTTCTAAATAGAAGGCTCATATGTAAGAATTAACCATCCATGGCATGCATACACAAACAGGTGTACACACACACACACACACACACACACACAGAGCATGCCATAATCCAGGAAACCATTTGCTTCCTCCACCTCCCCCAACTCACAGCTTCCAGATGATTCCAAGCCAGACATTTGAGTGGGCACACACACTTTGCTTGCTGTTTGTGGTACACATGCCTGGCCTATCCAACCTGTGAACATAAGAAGCAAGTATCTTAGTTATACTACTACATTTTGGGGGTAATTTGTTAAAAAGCCATACTATCTATAACAACACACAAACCCATTTATAATCATGTCTGAAAAAAGTTTGTTTTCTTTTTTGGAGCAGTAGGCTATGTGATTCCAAGTATTTTATTTTCATGGTAATAATCATTTTAGGAAAGAGACTAAATTTCTTTTACTGGCTAACGCATGGTATATTATTACTTAAGTATTCTGTAGGTTAAATCATGGCCCCTTACATAAGTAGGTGCAGTTTGATATATACCATAATTTATCTTCAGGGCAGCCCTGATCTCTTTGCTGAGTTTTGTACTAGGTTTTGAGTTGCCTCTGTAATATCCACTTGTATATTTTGTAGGTAATATAACCTCCCAGGACAAAAAACAGATTTATTTTCTCCATCTCATTTGTCCCTGTTGCTCTAACAGCACCATTGTGTGCTACAGAATTTACACTGGAAACTAGGGGGTATATTGAGCTTCATTTTGCCACATTTCGGGATGCACAGGGACAGTGTCATTGAGTCCTGTTGCTTTCTGTACCGTATCCCCATCTCCCTTCCACAGTCTCATTCCAACTGGCTCCATCCTCCCTTGGCTGTAGTCTTCTTATTCGTCCCTGGTCTCCTGGATCCTTCTCCACGCAGGGTACTAAATTTTTCTTTCCAGATCACTGCTCTGTCACTCCCTTATTGAAAAATATTTGGTTGTTTACAGAGTGAGTCTAGGATGATTTGTATGCTGTTCAGAACTCTTCTCAACTGGCACTCTGCTCATGTTTGCTTTCTTTTCTTTTTTTTTTTAAATTAATAGTCTTCAAAAAAAGAACAATGTAATAGTTTCAGGAATATGAATAGAAAGTACTGAGAGTTTCCATCTACCCCCTCATTCTGCCTTCTAGTCTTCCCTTATTAACCTCTTGCATTAGGCTGGTACACTAGTTAAAACTGATGAACTGATATGAATACATTTTTTATTAACTAAAATTTGTGGTTGCAATCCCCAGTACCAAAAAAAAAAAAATAAAGTTTGTGGTTTACTCTCTATGTTGTATATATCCTGTGGGTTTTGACACATGTGTGATCACATGTATGCACCATTATAGTATCACTGAAATATTCTTGCTGCCCTAAAAGTCCTCTGTGCTCCTCACCTATCCATCACTTTCCCCATCTTCTAGCTACCACCGATCTTTTCACTGTCTCCATAGTTTTGTCTTTTCAGATGTGTGGTTGGAGTCATATAGTAAGTCGCCTTTTCAGGTTGGCTTCTTTCACTTATCTGCGTGCAAGTTTCCTCCATGACTTTGCTAGGTTTGATAATGCGTGCATTTTTATTACTAACACGCCATTGTAGGGATGTACCACAGTCTATTTTTCCATTCATGTACTAAAGAATGTCTTGACTGTTTCCAGGTTATGGCAATTATAATTAAAGCTACTATAAGTGTTCATGTGTAGGTTTTTGTGTAAACATAAGTTTTCAACTTATTTACTTTTTAATGTAAATTTACATTTTGAGTAGATAATATATTAAGTAGTTCAAAGATTAAATGATATTAAAAAGATTCACGCTAAGAAATCCTCCTCCTCCCGTCCCTACCTGTCTGGATTTCCATCTTCTATATCCTTTTTTATTAATTTCTTGCTCATTCCTCTAGGGTTATGCAAATGCAAAAACCCCAAAACAAAACAACACTATGACTATCTAGCCTTACTTTCTCACTTTTTTCCATGATAGTAGCATATGTGAACCTCAATTTTTATTATGTAGCTTTTGAAAAGCACTCCTTAGCATATATATTTTCTTTCCTTTTAAGCTTTAAGGAGTGAGAACTTTCCATAAAAACCTACGAAATCCACATTCATTCTGTGATATTTTAAGCACTTGTATCCTGAGGTTTCCCTAGAACTTCATACTCCAGTGCTGAGGTCCCAGGAACTCATTTGCTGAGGATAACCACATGCAAACGTCATTCTGATTACTCATCTGCCCACCCACCCTTCTAGCTGGTCCACCCTCCTAGGCTGTCTTCTCTCTACCTGGTCCACTCACCTTCCCTACTCTTCATCTGATCTTGTCAGTCAGCTTCATCCACCCATCTCCTACCATATATCAAGTCCAGGTAGCCAAGTCCAGAAGAATAAGAAAGAAGATCCTTCAGAGATCCGCAGAGATTGGATATTATGGTGCACCTTTTTGTTCAGCCACAGCAGATTGGAGCATGTTAATTTTATATTCTTTAGTGTTTCTCTTATGGATTCTGAGTTTTTAACAACTTTTTGGGTCGCAAGGTATGGTGCGTAAATATGTACCTAGTTTTGTTGTTGTTTTTTTTTTTTTTTATACTGGGGATCGAACTCGGGTCCTTGCGCTTGCGAGGCAGGTGGTGGAACCACTGAGCTAAATCCTCGGCCCCCCTCGAGGGTATCACTGAACTCACCTTGACTTTATTCCAGATGAAGTTCCTCCCTCCAAGTTGGGGGAGGTGGAGGAAGCAAATGGTTTCCTGGATTATGGCATGCTCTGTGTGTGTGTGTGTGTGTGTGTGTGTGTGTATACACCTGTTTGTGTATGCATGCCATGGATGTTTTATTCTTACATAGTTGAGCCTTCTATTTAGAAAAATGTTGAAGCAATATTAGAACACTGTTCCAGGAAAACAATGGATTTCAGCTAAACTTTATATTACTTTTACTTGGTGCCCAAGAGGCTTATTATACCATAGTTTATGGAGATAGAGAGAACGCTTCATAACAAAGTCAGATGCGATACATAATATTTTTTAAGAGAGTATGCTATTATTTGGTATTAAACCTCATCTGCATTATTTTCCCTTTTTTGAAAGTCAATTTTAATTTATGTCTCGATTCCACTGCACAGAGTGCTATGTGGACACAGTATCCTCAAGGAAGTTATCTAATTTTTATGATTTGGAGCAAGCTTTTGGGGGATCGTTGTGCTTTTCCTCACCAGTGAAAATATTTTGAGAAGAGCAGAAGATTAAGAATTAGTGGTGACTTGGTAACACTGTGCGAACAGTTGTTCAGATGGAGGCTGTATTTGTGGTTTTTGTGATTATATGGGGAAGAACCTGACAATTTTGAAGGCTATTCTTTACAGTGGGAAAGTGCAAATCATTTTCGAACCTGAAAGAGTGGAATGGAGCTCCATGGCCTCTGTTTTTCTGTCTTTCTCTTTTTTTTCTTTATGCCTGGAATAGGGGCTGTGGAGAGTGAGAGGTACAGTCCTGGCTTCCATGAGATCTTGGCTGAGCAGAGAGGTTCTATCCAGCATTTCTCCTCCCAATCCTCTTCCTGACCCCAGGCCTCTGTGTTGCTCAGCCCCAAAGATCTCTTAAAGCTTCAGGGAGCTGCAAAAACAGTTCTTTTAAAATGTATTTAACCATGTTGCCCTTTAACCTTGACACCTTCA